GATTATTTTTCTTTCTGTTGAATTGATCTTGTTTCCTTCACTAACCACACTGCTGGTTTGTTTATCAAATCTATCTCTCCCTCTTGCTCTTTATTTTAATGCTAGCATTTTGGGAGATCTTGCCACAAGGTAAATGATGAAGTTTTTAGTCTGTCACTCATTAACCATTTTACCCCAACCTGTGTTGGCCATTTCTTGCTTCAGCAGAACACATTTTTTCTATCTGAGGTGATTGTTGACCACAGCACTGGCTTAGAGAGAGAAAACACTGCCAGGTGTACAGACTGTGAGATTCAGTGCAGTGGAGCTGATGGGTATTCAGACCTGCAGCTGAGCAGTGGAGGGGACGGGGACGGAGATGGGAGTATGTAGGTGGGAAGGTGCAGTGGTGAAATCAAAATAGCCAATAATTACAAAAGGAAAGGTGAAATTCCAATGAAACCCAGTGAATAAAGCCTGTGTTTGGACTATATACTTGAAGCAGCCAGCAGAGCCTGCTAAAAGGTCAGACTGGTGAAGAGAACAATTCATAAATCACACAGCATCCTGGGCTTTATTCATATGGGCATAGAGTACAAGAGCACTGGTGTAAGACATTTATTGTTGTAATATTGTGTACAGTTCTGGGCATCACTCCTTTGGAAGGATGTGGAGTGTGATGACAATATGGCTTTAACTTATGTATTTTGTCCTTTTTTTTGTGAACAAATGTTGAGACAGAGGTACCGAGCGATCTACTCAAAGCCAAAAAAGTAAACCGCTTGTGAAGCCTTGGTTTTTTTTTTAAAGTTGGAACAATAGAAGCAGCCTGAATGTGTGGGGTCAAGCTCTCACAGAACCAGGATTTTTAGTTTTAACTTTCTGCAGTTGCTAGGGTATTGAAGCTGGATGTGGAAGTTCTTATTCCTCTCTCTGTTTCAGTTAAAAGCTGGGGTTCTCTTCCTGCTGCTAAAATTGCATGTGAGACAATCTATTTTACTGAGTTTGTCTTTGACAAGGTTTATGGGATGTTACTAAATTTGAACAGTTAATTAATAGCAGTTATTTTCTCTATTATTTTAAGCATTTCATTAGAGTTACAGTTAAGCCTAATTCCTTTATTTTTATTTCGTTTTTATTTTAACTGTAATGTTAAAATAAAGTGTGTTTCGCTTAAAGTCAAGTAGTTTGACCAATCGAATTGCACCTGGAACACAATGCCTTATACCTACCTTTAAAATAAGAAAAAGCTAGGGTCTAGGCTATCTTCTTAATATATTTTGAGGGGGTTTGGTCTGGTCCATAACAGGAGGCATTGGAGAAAGTGCAGAAGAAATTCATGCGAGTGGTTCCAGGGATGAGGAATTTCGGTTTTGAAGATGGATAGGAGAACTTGGGACTCTTTTTCTTGGAGAGGGAAGCTGAGAGGCAACCTAATTGATGTGTTTAAAATCAAGAGGAGCCTAGACAAAGTGGATAGAAGGAAACTGTTCCCACTGGTGCAAGAGTTGAGAATGATTGGACACAGATTTAAGATAATTGGGTGAAAGAAGCAATGGAGACTGAAGGGGAAAAACCTTTATGCGCAGTGAGTGCTTAGTAGCTGGAATGTGCTACCTGAGAGTGTGGTGGAGGCAGGTTCATTCGAGATCCCCAAAAGAGAATCAGACTGTTATTTGAAAAAAAAAGAAGGATATGAAGGGTACGAGGTGAAGGTGGCAGAATGGCACAAAGTAAATTGCTCATTTGGTGAACCAGATCAGACAAATGGCTGAATGATCTCTTTCTGCCATGTGTTAACTTTACAATTCCGTGATTGTGTTTCAACGCATCTAGTTTGTTTACAATGAAGAGAGGAGGCTAATGAAGAGAATGTGATAAATGTTGTTCATATGGATTTTAAGAGCCAAAGTCTCACACTGAACCACAGGACCAAAGAAACATTATAGCAGAGAAAGGGGCCATTCAGCCCAAACTGTATGCACTGGGTGAATAAACTAGCCGCTCATTCTAATCCCATTTTCCAGACCCTGCTCTGTATCCTTCCAGAACCTCAGGGACAGATCCAGGTTCCTTTTCAATTAGTATACCCCTCAACCCCCAAACTGGGCAGTGAATTTCAGACTATCCCCTCCCTCTGGGTGAAAAAGGATTTCCTCATGTACCCTCTAATTCTTCACCAATCACTTTAACTCTGTGTCCCTGCTCTCTAACCTCTCCTCTAGGGGACACAAGTCCACCCTGTCCACTCTATCCAACCCCCTTATCATTTTGTACACCTCAATTGTTTCCCCTCAGGCTCCTCAGTTCTACTTAAAACAAACTTTGCCTATTCAATCTTTCCTCAAAGCTTAAATTTTTTAAGCCCTGACAACACTTTTGTAAATCTTCTCTATGTACTCTCTAGAGCAATTATGTTCCTTCTTTAATGTGGTGACCAGACCTGTACACCCAACTCCAGCTGTGGACTAACCAGTGTCTCGCATAGTTCCAGCATTACATTCCTGCTCTTGTATTCAATACCTCACCGTCCCATGTTTCTTCTTGACGCCGTAAGACCAGAAAATATAGGAGTAGACATAGGCCATTCTGCTTCACCATTCAATGTGATCATCACTAATCTGATAATCCTCAACTCCATTTTCCTACCTTTTTCCCATAACCCTTGATTCTCTTCCTGATTAAAAATCTCAGTCTTGAATATACTTAACAATATAGACCTGACACCCTCTGCAGTAATGAATTCAACAGATCCACTTCCCTTTGAGAGAAGAAATTCCTCCTCATCTCTGTCTTAAATGTGTGACCCCTTATTCTGAGATGATGCTGCCTGGTCCTAGACTGTCCCACAAGGGGAAACAAACTTTCCACATCTATCCTGTCAAGTTCCCTAAGAATCTTTTATGTTTCAACAAGGTCGCCCCTCATTCTTCTTTATTCCAATGAGTACAGGCCCAACCTACTCAACCTCTCCCCATACCTGCTATCAGCCTGGTGAACCTTCTCTGGGCTAATTACAATGTCAGTATATATTTCCTTAGATAAGGGACCCAAAAACATTTACAATATTCCAGCTGTGATCTGACTAGCGTCTTGCATAGTTATAGCAAAACCTCCCAACTTTTATACTCCATTTACTTTGAAATAAAGGCCAATATTCCATTTGCCTTCCCTTTTACTTCGTTGTAGCTTTTGATTTATGGAAGAGAGCTCCCAAATCCCTCTGTTCTGTAGCGATGTACAGTCTTTGCCAATTTATCTGCCTGTCCTGTCACCTTCAGGGAATGGTGGAGTTGCAAGGCCCCTCACTTTCTCCACCCCTCTTGATAACACCCTCTCCCATTTATTGTGTATTCCCTTGCATTATTTGATCTCCCTAAATACATAACCTCACACTTCTCCAGACTGAACTCTATTTGCCACTTGACTGCCCACTCAACCAAACCATTGATATCTTCCTACAGTTGACAGACATCATCCACACCATCAACCACCCAACCAGATTTTTGTGTCCTTTTGAAAATTTCTCAATTCTGCCTCCCACATTTAAATCTAAATCATTAATGTATACCACAATCAGCAAGGCGCGCAGGACTGAACGCTGTAACAAAATCAAAACCCATGGAATAGGAGAGTTCTGGTTAGCTTAGATAAAATAAAAATTGACTTAACTTCAGAAAACATCGGGTACTGGTTCTTGCTGAGGCTGGTACAGCTGCACCTGGTTTTCTTCTGGTGTATTTCTACATATTCACAAGAAGTTTCTTCCTTCAGTTGTTATCTCTCCCTGAGACACCCAAAACAATCAACAAACTAAATTCACTATTCCTTCAACTTCAGAGTAAACATACAAGTTCCCTAAACTCAGGTTCCAGCAGTCTTGCGGAATTTCTTCCTGCACAGTTGAAGCTTCATTCCTGCACATTCCAGCGCACCATGCACTGAACGACTGATCAACTTGTCAATTTTTCTGCCTCTTTGTTTGTACCTCGGCCTCTGCATCAGCACTGTATTTTCTAATAACTTTATTTTTAATAAACTATTAAATCATTTCAAGGGTCGTGAAGGTTCGTTAAAAATGCATAAATACAAACAAACCTCCAGACCTCCCACCACTGATCCCACTAAACAACACTTAAGAAATGTCTCCTTTTCATAACTTTAAGTTGAATTTATACTTTCTGTCTCCTCTTCATAACTCACAAAATATAAATTTAATTCAAAGTTGTACATCACACTAGGACCACTTTTTAAAATTATGTATATAAATAATTTGAGAATTGGAATCAAAAGTAGAATTTCGGGATTTGCCAATGATATCAAAATTGGAGGAAAGGCTGGAAGTGAAAATGTTTCCAACTGATTGCAACAGGATATAGACAAAAAAAACTGCAAATGCCAAAATCCAAGGTAGACGAACAGAAGGCTGGAAGAACACAGCAAACCAGACAGCATCTGGAGGAAAGGAGCAGTCAAAGTTTTGGGTATTAACCTTCTTTGATAAGGGTGGGGCTGGTAGACTGGGCAAAAAGAATTTAATATGTAGAAATGTAAGGTGATGGAATCTGTCAAAAGGGATAGAGAAAGACAATAGAGACTTGATAGCAGAGTTTTAAAGAATGTGCAAGAGAAGAAAGACCTGGGCATTTACGCGCATTAATCTGTGAAGAGGGCAGGACATTTTGAGGGCACAGTTATCAAAGCATATGGGATTTGGGCTTCATAAATGGAGGCATTGAGTAAATCACTCATTAGGCCCCAACTACAGAATTACAGCCAATTTTGGTTAACGCACATTAGGAAGGATGTTAAACAGTGCAGATGTGATTTACCAGAATGCTTCCAGGGTTGAGGGATTTTAGGTGCATGGTCATGTTGGAAAAGCTGGGGATGTCTGTGAATTTCTATCTGTCTCTCTCTCTGTTTGTTTCTCTCTCTTCCTGCCTGTCTGTTTTTGGCTGTCTGTCCATCAATCTCTCTTTCTGACCCTCCCTCGGTCTGTCGATTCTCTCCCTCTCTCATTTTCTGTCTAGCTTTCTCTCTCTGTCCCTCTTTTCTGTGTCTCGACAGGATGGATGTTTCTCAGGTTTTCAGAATTCTGAGCTCAGGATCAAACAGAGATCCTGCGACCACACTTATTGGCAGTGAGACTATTTGAGCAGACTTCCAGGAGGTGTTCTCCTAACTCGTTGCCTTGGCACTCGCTGTCTTATTCAGGATGCAGATTGCTCTGTAGCCTAGTGGCAGCCCATTGGGAGAGGTAGGCACTGCTGAGGCAGGTCAGCAGTGTAAACACAGTCCAAACCAACCGGTCTGTTTGTAGGCATCAGTATGTTTCAAAATCTATCTCTCTCACTCTTGAATATACTCAATGACCCAGACTCAACAGCCCACTGTGGTACAGAATTCCACAGATTCACCACCCTCAGAGAGAAAATTTGTCCTCATCCATGTCTTAAATGAGCAACGCCTTACTTTGAGACTATACCCTCGCACAAGGGGAAACAATCTCTCCACGTCTATCCTACCAAGCCCCGAAGACCAGTTTTATTTCAAAATGGTCATCTCTCATTCTTCTAAACTCCAATGAGTATAAGCCCAACCTACTCAACTTCTCATAAGACAGTCTCTCTATATGAGTGACAGCCTAGTGAACCTTCTTTGGACTGCCTCCAATACAGAAAATTTGGGAGGTGACTGAGGCTATTCCAGCCCACATTGTACCTTGGAACCTCTGATCTGATTGCCCCCTCCTCTCCCTCAATGGCCTGCTGAGGGCTGCCTCCAAGGATCTGGGGCTCTCTGCCAACAGTGAGAAAGTTGTAGGGTTGGGGTATATTCTTCCAGTGGCAAAGCGACGACAAGGCTGTAAAATTGCTCCTAAACAAGGCCTCACAGTTGTCTCAGGAGCCATCTGTCAGATTGGTACTGGGTTTGAACTAATTCCCAACCTGGAAAAATTCCCTGGCACAAGGACTGTGTTGGGGAGTAGTCCTGATGTAGGCCAGATATAGTTCTTTCCCTAAAGGACATCAGTGAACTAGATTATTTTTAAAAAATCGATGATTGTTTCAAGGCACCAACAATGATGTTAACTTTTGAAAGTGTGCAAAGATGATTTACGAGGATGCTGTCAAGACTAATAGGCCTGAGTTATAGGGAGAGGTTGACTAGGATATGACTTTATTCCTTAGAACATAGGAGAATGAGGGGTGATCTTATTGGTGTGCATAAAATCATGAGGGGCATAGATAGAATGAATGCATATAGTATTTTTCCCAGAAATGGGGAATTGAAAACTAGAGGGTGTAGGTTTAAGGTGAGAGGGGATAGTTTAAAAAGGACCTGAGAGCAACTTCTTCATGCAGAGAGTGGTGCATATATGGAATGGGCTGCCGGAGCAAGTGGTTGAGGCAGGTACAATAGCGACATTTTTAAAAATTTGAATAGGTATATGGATAGGAAGGGTTTAAAGGGATATGGATCAAATGCGGGCAATTGGAACTAACTGAGTGGGCACCATGGTCAGCATGGACCAGTTTAGTCTGAAGGGCCTGTTTCCATGCTGTATTACTGTATGACTCTATGTCGAGAAGTTATTTCCTCTTGTGGGAGAGTCTAGGACCAGAGGACATCAGTTAAGAATAGGGCGTTGCATATTTAATACAGAGATGAGGAGGAATTTCTTCTCTCTAGGGGAACGAATCTGTGGAATTCTTTATCTCAGAGGGCTGTCCGGGCTGGGTCATTATGCATATTCAAGGCTACGATGGATATTTTTAATCTGTAAGGGAACTGAGGGTTCTGGGGCAAAGGCAGGAAAGTGGAGATGAAGATTATCAGATCAGCCATGACTTCATTGAATGGTGGAGCAATCTCGTTGGGCTGAATGGCCTACTTCTGCCGCTAGATCTTATGATTCACTGTATTCAAAAAAAAATTAATGGTAATATAAATTCTACCAGCTGCTGTTGTGGGATTTGGACTCGTGCCTTCAGAGGATTAGCCTGAAATGACTGCCCAGTGCTGTTACTACTGTACCACCATTACAGTCAGCAGTTGCACAATTCAGTACATATTGCAGGGAAGGGGTTGGTCCACTTACCAGCAGCTCAGTGAACTGTAGCTGGATGGTCTCAGGTGGTGGCCCTTCCCTGTGCATGCCTGTGATGGCTGTCCCGATGTCCTGGATCCTGGAACACACTCAGCTGTGTGTGACTCTTTCTGACTGATAGAACCAGCTGGGCAGAGAGTGGGTGAGACAGGACTTGACAGACAACATCTCCCAAACCACATTACAAACCTGCTTCTGCTTGCCTTTCAGTGATGTGATTGTGGAGCTGCCGTTTACCTTAATGCATGCTAAGCCCGAGGAAGAGACATTCTACAGAGAAGGTAAGGAGACTAAAATGACATGAAGCCAGCCAACGGTGTACTCAACCGCAAATAAAATCTGAACAAACAACGCTTTGAACTACGGAGTGGATCCACCGAAAGTACAAAATTTGCATTCAGACAGTGCCTTTAGTGAAATGACATAAATCACAAGCTGCTTTACATAAGCAATTTTAATGCAGATATCATAATCTCACACACAACAAGTAGTTTGGGTCTGGAATGCACTGACTGGAAATGTGTTGGAAGCAGGATCAATTAAAGTACTCAAGAGGGGTATAGATGGTTACTTCAATAGAAACTGTACGCAGGGATACGGGGAAAAGGCAGGACATTGGCACTAGATAAGAGAATGCGTGCAAGTGCAATGGGCCGAATGGCTTCCTTCACTACCGTAACAATCCTATGATCTCATAAGGACATTTTAAGAAACAGTAGCAGGAGTGGGCTATTCAATACTTGAGCATGCTCTGCTATTTAGTAAGCTTTTTGCTTTTCTTTATATTCTAGAAAGGATATTATTAAGCTGTAAAGGATTCAGAAAAGATTTACCAGGACATGGCTGGGAATGGAAGTTTTAAGTTATGAGGAGAGGCTGGATAGGCTGGGACCTTTTTCACTGGAGTGAAGGAGGTTGGAGGTGACCTTATAGAGGTTTATAAAATCATGAGGGGCATAGGTAAGATGAATGGCAGGTGTCTTTTCCCTAGGGTCGGGCTATTTCAAGACTAGGGAACATATTTTTAAGGTGGGAGGAGAGAGATTTAGAAAAGACATGAGGGATAACTTTTTTACACAGAGAGTCGTTTGTGTGTGGAATGAACTACCAGAGGAAGTGATGGATCGGGTACAGTTACAACATTTAAAAGACATTTGGATAAGTACATGATTAAGAAATGTTTGGAGGGGTATGAGCCAAGCTCAGGCAGGTAGGACTAGTTTAGTTTGGGATTATGGTCAGCATGGACTGGTTGAACCGAAGGGTCTGTTTCTGTGCTGTATCTATGAGATTTGGGTACCACTAGCAAAGCCAGAGTTTGTTACCCATCCCTAATTGCCCTTAAACTGAGTGCCTTGGTTTGCCATTTCAAGAGGGCAAATAAGAGTCAGTCAAATTGCTGTGGCAAAAACAAAAATTGCTGGAGAAACTCAGCAGGTTTGGCAGCATCTGCACAGACAGAAACAGAGTTCACGTTTTCTGTCGACTGACCCTTCTTCAGAAATTGCTATGGCTCTGGAGTAGACCAGACCAGGTAAGGATGGCAGATTTCCTTCCCTAAATGCCATTTTTTGAACCAGATGGATTTTTACAGCAATTGATAGTTTCATGATCACCATCGCTAAGACTAGCATTCAATTCCAGGTTTATTCATTAAATGTAAATTCCACCATTTGTTATGATGGGATTTGAAACCATGTCCCCAAAACAGTAACTGAACCTCTGGATTATTAGCCCAGTGACATAACTTTTCAGTTCCATTCATTGTCCCTTCGTTGCCTCATTGACAAAATATTCATTGATCTCTGTATTGAATATAGTGAATGGAGTAATGAAACAGTAAGGGGAGAGGCTGGGAAGGGATTGTGAAGTGGCTGGAAGAGAGATGGAGAGAGGAGCAAGAGGTTAGAGAAATGGCAAAGGGAGAGCAAGGGAGGAAGACGTTGGGAAAAGGAGGTTGGGAAAAGTGAAAGAGTGAGGTGGTGGGAAAGGGGGTATTGGGAATTTCCTGACTGACAGGAGTCAAAGGGTTATTGGGGATGGGTAGGAATATAATGTTGAGGCCAATTTCAGATCAGCCATGATGGGCAGAATGACCTACGGCTGCTTCTCATTGGAAAGTTTGTATATCCTGGGAGGAGGGGAAGGAGAAGGGTGGGAGAGGGGTCATAAAAGGGGGAGGTGGAGGAAGGAGGGAGGAAGGGGTAGCAGGAGATTGGAGGAGGTGAGGAAGGTGGAGGAGCAAAGATGGGACACAGGAGGCGATGTGTGATGGCCTCTTGTGGTCTGTTTCAGTGAGAACAACTTGAGATTCCAAAATCTCCAGAAGGATCAGCAAACTGGACACTCAGTGTCTGATGTGTGAATGTTCTTCTTTTTACAGTTCCTGAGAATGAGGTTCCCATCGACACCAACCTGATTGAGTTTGACACCAAGTAGGTTGTTCATCATTTCTGCTTAAAAGTGGATCCACATGTGTCCTCAATGAGCATTGTATACATCATCAGTGTGTGTGTGTGTGTCTGTGCGTGTCTGTGTTTGTGGGTGTTTGTGGGTGTTTGCCTCTGTGTGTGTGAGTGTGTGTGTGTGTGTGTGTGTGTGTGTGTGTGTGTGTGTAGAGAGTGTGAGTGTGTCTTTGTGTATGGCCCTGTGTGAGTGTACACCAGTGTCTGTGCTTGTGTATGACTTTGCATGACTGTTACTTACATGAAAATGCAATTTGTTTTTCCTGGGATGTGTCCAGGGATCTTTCCCTGGAGAGGGATTAATTCCCACATGCAAAATTCTGTCCTGTTGCCAGTCATAGACAATCATAGATTGATGACTTCTGGTTCTGGTCTCTCCCAAAGTGGGAAACCTTCCAATTCAAAAACCCCTTTGTAACATAGAAGTTAGTAGCAGAAGTAGGCCATTTGGCCATTTAGGCCTGCTATGCCATTCTAACAAAAAAAAAATCCTCAGACAGCATTTTCCAAACCCACAACCACTCCCGTCGAGAAGGACAAGGGCAGCAGATACGTGGGAACACAAGTTCCCCTCCAAGCCACTCACCATCCTGAGTTGGAAATATATCGCCATTCCTTCGCTGTCACTGGGTCAAAATCCTGAATTCCCTCCCCAGTGGCATTGTGCGTCAACATGCAGCAGGTGGACTGCAGTGATTCAAGGAGGCAGCTCACCACCATCTTCTCAAGGGGCAACTAGGGATGGGCAATAAATGCTGGCCAGCGAGCTATGTCCACATCCCACAAAATGAATAAATAGAAAAAGATTGGCAGACATCATTTATCTTTTTAAAATTCACCATGTCCCCAAGAATAAGTGGAAATGAATACAGAGAGTGCTAGAGAAATTCAGCAGGTCTAGCTGCATCTGTGAAAGGAGAAACAGAAATAACAGTTTGAGGCTGATATGACTCTTCAGAGAATGAGTGGAAATATCTTCTCTTGGTCTAAATTCTTATTAAAACTCTTCTTGACAGTTGGAATTCTTTTAAACAGTCTTAAAAGCTCCCTTAAGTCATGTTTAGTGAACTGTTGCATTAGCGAGTTAGTGTTTGGTTGGATTAACCGGTTAGAGTTAGGTTAACTGACATCACAAGATAAGATCCACTCATCTGGATATAAATTTCCTGGGAGTTTGTCAGTTCAATTGAGCTAAACTTAGTCTGAAGCCTAACTTCAGGTCTCATAAGAGTCTTTCATGGATCTCAGATTTAATGAAACTCACTTGAAAATAGCTTGAAAAAGGAACAAGAAAGAGAAGGCATAGATTTAAAGTGATGTGCAAAAGGAGCGAGGTTGATGTGAGAAAAGATTTTCTCACAAAGCGAGTAGTTAGAGTCTGAAATGCACTATCTGGAAATGTAGTGGAGGCAGGTTCAAGAGGGGCATTGGATGATTATTTGGATAGAAATGGTGTGCAAGGATATGGGGAAAAGGCAGGAGATTGGCAGTATGGAATAGAACTAGATTAGATCATAAAACCAGTGCAGGCATGATGGACCGAATAGGATCCTTTGGAATAGTTCTGTGATACTTTGGAATAAGCATAGTCTATTGAACAAGACTCATGCCTCTCATCTGCTAAAGATTTTAAATGGGCATCTTTCCTCACTTAGTATCAGTAACATAGACTGAAGGATTGGTGATGGTGAATCCTCCCAATGTTGATTTGATTTGATTTGGTCATTATTGTCATATGTACTGAGATATAGTGAAAAGTATTGTTTTGTATGCTATCCAGGCAAATCATACCTTACATAAGTACATTAGAGCAATAGAACAGAATGCAAAACATAGCATAACAGCTACAGAGCAGGTGCAGAGAAAGATCAACTCTAATATATGAGAGATCCATTCAAAATTCTGATAACAGCAGGGAAGAAGCTGTTCTTGAGATAGTAGGAACTGCCGATGCTGGAGAATCTGAGATAACAAGGTGTAGAGCTGGATGAACACAGCAGGCCAAGCAGCATCAGAGGAACAGGAAAGCTGACGTTTCGGGCCTAGACCCTTCATCAGAAATGGGGGAGGGAAAGGGGATTCTGAAATAAATAGGGAGAGAGGGGGAGGCGGATAGAAGATGGATAAAGGAGAAAATAGGTGGAGAGGAGACAGACAGGTCAAAGAGGCGGGGTTGGAGCCAGTAAAGGTGAATGTAGGTGGGGAGTTAGGGAGGGGATATGTCAGTCCAGGGAGGACGGACGGGTCAAGGAGGCGGGATGAGGTTAGTAAGTAGGAGATGGGGGTGGGGCTTGAGGTGGGATGAATGGTTAGGGAGGCTTCCTACAGACAAAGGGGGTGACCATGGGTACCCACATGGGCCCAAGCTATGCCTGCCTCTTTGTAGGATTCATGGAACAATCCCTCTTCCAAAGCTACACTGGCCCTATCCCCCACCTCTTCCTCCATTACATTGATGACAGTATCGGCGCCGCCTTGTGCTCCCACGAGGAGCTCGAACAGTTCATCCACTTCACTAACACCTTCCACCCCAACCTTAAGTTTGCCTGGACCATCTCTGATACCTCTCTCTCCTTCCTGGACCTCTCTGTCTCCATCTCTGGCATCCACCTGGAAACTGATATCCATTTCAAGCCTACCGACTCCCAAAGCTACCTAGAATACACCTCCTCCCACCCAACTTCCTGCAAAAATGCCATCCCCTATTCCCAATTCCTTCGCCTCTGCCGCATCTGCTCCCGAGATGAGGCATTCCACTCCCGGACATCCCAGATGTCCTCGTTTTTCAAGGACCACAACTTCCCCTCTACAGTGGTCGAAAACACCCTCGACCATGTCTCTCGCATTTCCCGCAACTCATCCCTCACACCCCCTACCCGCAATAACAACCAAAACAGAATCCCCCTCGAATTCACATACCACCCCACCAACCTCCAAATCCAACACATCATCCTCCGACACTTCCGCCATCTGCAATCTGACCCCACTACCAAAGACATTTTTCTCTCCCCACCCTTATCTGCTTTCCGGAGGGACCACTCTCTCCGTGACTCCCTTGTCCGCTCCACACTCCCCTCCAGTCCCACCACACCCGACACTTTTCCCTGCAACCGCAGGAAGTGCTACACCTGCCCCTACATCTCCTCCCTCACCCCATCCCATGCCCTAAGAAGACCTTCCACATCAAACAGATGTTCACCTGCACATCTGCTAATGTGGTACACTGTATCCGCTGTTCCCGTTGTGGCCTCCTCTACATCGGGGAAACCATGCAGAGACTTGGGGGCCGCTTTGTGGAACACCTACACTCGGTTCGCAACAAACAACTGCACCTCCCAGTCGCGAACCATTTCAACTCCCCCTCCCACTCCTTTGATGACATGTCCATCCTGGGCCTCCTGCATTGCCACAATGATGCCACCCGAAAGCTGCAGGAACAGCATCTCATATTTCGCTTGGGAACCCTGCAGCCCAAGGGTAATAATATGGACTTCACAAACTTCAAAATCTCCCCTCCCCCCGATCGCATCCCAAAACCAGCCCAGCTCGTCCCTGCCTCCCTAACCATTCCTCCCACCTCAAGCCCCACCCCGATCTCCTACCCACTAACCTCATCCCACTTCCTTGACCTGTCCGTCCTCCCTGGACCGACCTATCCCCTCCCTAACTCCCCACCTACACTCACCTTTACTGCCTCTTTGACCTGTCTGTCTCCTCTCCACCTATCTTCTCCTTTATCCATCTTCTATCTGCCTCCCCCTCTCTCCCTATTTATTTCAGAATCCCCTTCCCCTCCCCCATTTCTGAAGAAGGGCCTCGACCTGAAACGTCAGCCTTCCTGCTCCTCTGATGCTGCTTGGCCTGCTGTGTTCATCCAGCTCTGCACCTTGTTATCTCAGAAGCTGTTCTTGAATCTGTTGGTACATATTTTCAAACTTTTATATCTTCTGCCTGAATGAAGAGGTGGAAGAGAGTATAAGCGGCTGAGAGGGGTTTTTGATGATGTTGTATGCTTTCCCGAGGCAGCAGGAAGTGTGAGTGAAGTCAGTGGAAGAAAGGCTTCTTGAGTGTTGTTGGAATGTCATGTACTCAGATAAGTGGTGGGTATTCCTAACTTATCCTTGTAGGTGGACTGAACTGCATTCACAACTCTCTGTAATTTCTTCTTGTCCAGGGCAGAACAGTTGCCATACCAATCTGTAATGCATCTGGATAGGATGCTGTCTATGGTACATCTATAAAAATTGGTAAAAGTCATTGTGGATTTCCTTAGCCTTCTGAGGAAGTAGAGGCATTGGTGTGTTTTCTATACAGAAGTGTCAAAGTGGATGGACCAGGACAGATTGATGGTGATATTTACTGCTAGGAACTTTACGCTCAACCACCTCCAACTCAGCACCATTGATACAGACAGGGGCGTGTCCTCCACTCCACTAACTGAAGTCGATGACCAGCTCCTTCATTTTGCTGACATTGAGGGAGATATTATTGTCTGTACACCATGCCACTGAGCTCTCTGTCTCTTTCCTGTACTCTGCCTCGTCATTGTTTGAGATTTGACCCGCTACGGTGGTGTCATCAGCAAATTTGTGAATGGAGTTAGAGCTGAACTTGGCCACAAATTTGTGCGCGTATAAGGAGCATAGTAAGGAGCTGAGTATACAGCCTTTGTAGAGCACCAGTGTTGAGGATTATTGTGGAGAAGGTCACCTACCCTTACTGATTGCAGTCTGCAGGTCAGGAAGTCCAGGATCCAATTGCAGAGGGGGTGAGCAGAGTCCAAGGTCTCAGAGTACGGAGATATGTTTTGTTGGAATTATGGAGTTGAAAGTGGAGCTAAAGTCAATAAATAGAAGTCTGACACAGGTGTTCTTGTTATCCAGATGTTCCAGGGGTGAGCTTAGGGCCAGGGAGATGGTGTCTGCCATGGATCTATTGTGACAGTAGGTGAATTGTAATGGATCAAGGCAATCTGGGAGGCTGGAGCTGATGCGTGCCATTACTAACCTCTTGAAGCACAAATGTATCCCCAGTGGCATTGGTGGACCTGACCACAATGTATACCACTTTGATCTTTTCCAGGAAAATTGGCCCAAATTTCTTCAGTCTTCATTATTTACAGGGAAGAGGAGACAGTGAGCAGTTCAGGCCTGTGCTCGCTAAAGTTTAGGAATGAAAGGAGAGCCAGTTGAGATTTATAAAATGCTAAAAGGGATTGACAAAATAAACATGGAGTAGATGTTTCCTCATGTGGGCAATCCAGAGCAAGGGGTCATAATTTTCGGATAAGGGTAACAGATTTAAAACAGAAATGAGGAGAAATTACTTCTAAAGGATCATGAATCTGTGGAATTCACTCTCCTGGAGTGTAGTGGATGCTGGAACATTGAGTAAATTTAAGAAGGAGACAAGACAGATTTTTAAATTAGTAATAGTTGAAGGGTCATGAGGAGCAGGCAGGAAAATGGAGTTGAAGCCAAGATGACATCAGCCGTGATCATATCAAATGTTGGAGCAGGCCCGAGGGGCTGAATTGCCTACTCCTGCTCCCTGTTCTTATGTCCTTTTACTCCACAAAAATAGAGTACATCATTTCAATGTGACTTCGGTTGTTATCTAAAGGCTAGCTCGCTCACCCTGAATTCTCTTCCACTTCCAGTGATGACGACATTGTTTTTGAGGATTTTGCTCGCCAGAGGTTAAAAGGGTTGAAGGACGACAATGACGATGATGAAGATGGAGTCAATTCACCCCAGCACAATGACCGATAAAACACGGGGTCGCGCAAATTGCTGCAAGGCGCGGTGATCTTCAATACCTGAAAAGCTGCTGTCGTTAGTTTATTTTTCTCCTTGTTTTTGTTAGACAATAAAACAACTGAGGCTTCTCAATGGTCCCAGGCCAAAACCTGACAGGGTCCAAACAGTAGACTGGTACAATCATGATGTCAGTTTCTTCACAGCCTTTTTGGGGAAATGGAGAGGGGGATGGGATTGTCTGGGGTGGAGAGGGTGGGTTGGGCAAGTTCTGGGGAAGGGGGTTGGGAGGGTCAAGACTTTGGTACACAAATTAGCCAACTTCCTGCAGGATGTAGTCTGACAGAGATTGGAAATCAGCCTCCAGGGGAGCGAAAAACAACAGGAGGTAAAATAAAAATCACACAGAGCTTTAAGCATTTGTCCTTCAATTTATTTTGTTTATTAACTGCAGAAACTTTTACTGCAGAGGACTGTCAAGGCTAGGTCATTAAGTCTATTCAAGGCTAAAAAGACAGATTTTTAATTTAGGGAAGCAAGGGTTATGGGGAAAAGGCAGGAAAGTGGAGTTGAGGATGATCAGATCAGCTGGGATTACATTGAATGGCAGAGCAGACTTGATGAGCTCCATGGCACACTTCTGCTCCTGTGCCTTCTGGTTTGAATATTGGAAATGTCTGTGTTGAGATTTAGAGGGAATGATGGGGAGGTGTGTGTATTGAGGGGAAGACTGCTTTTCACAGGGTCTTTGAGAGGTCAAGTTCCAAAAAGACATTAACCGGAATTGACAACGTAGCTCCACCTCCATCCTTATGGCTTCAGTTGAATGATTCAAACACAAAAATATGATGCACATTAAAAGCAACTGTTTTCATAGAACCCCTACAGTGCATAATAGGCCATTTGGCCCATCATGACTGCACCAACCCTCTGAAGAGCATCCCACACAGATTTAGTCCCACTCCCAACGCGATCCGTGTAATTCCACATTTCCCATGGCTAATCCAACTAACCTGCACATCTTTGGACTCTGGGAGGAAACCGGGGCATCAGGAAGAAACCCACGCAGACATGGAGAGAATGTGCAAACTCCACACAGTCACCCGAGGATGGAATCAAATCTGGGTCCCTGACGCTGTGAAGCAGCAGTGCTAACCACTGCACCCATCATTTCCCCAGATGAGATCTTGAGGCAAGTGTGGCCATATTTATAAATACATTGAAGGGAAGAGGTTAACCAGGGAAAGAGAGGGCCCATTAGGAACCAAGGGGGCAACCTGTGTGTGAAACCACAGAATATTGGAAGGGTGTTAAACGAATACTTCTCTTCAGTCTTCTATTTAGAAAAGGAAAACGTAGGTACAGAATTCAGGAAAAGGGACTGTGAGGAACTTGCACAGTTTGACATAGGAAATGTGGACATATTGGAGACTCTGCCAGGCTTAAAAACAGACAAAACCCCAGGCCCAGATGAATTGCATCCCAGGATGCTATGGGAGGCAAGGCAGGAAATTACAGAGACTCTAACACAAAATTTTAATTCCTCTCTGGCCACAGGGGAAGTGCCAGAGGGCTGGAGAGCAGCTAATGTGTTCCACTTTTTAAGAAGGGTGGTAGAGATGAATCAGGAAATTGCAGACCAGTGAGTCTCACGTCAGCGATAGGGAAACTCTTGGAGAAAATTCTGAAGAAGCGAATTAATACCCACTTGGAAAGGCATGGGTCTAATGAGGGAGGTCATGCCTACCAAATTTGTTAGAGTTTTTGAAAATGTAATCAAGTGTCTGGATGAGGGAGTTGGTGTAGTTTATATGAATTTTAGCAAAGCTTCTGACAAGGTTCCCCCTGGGAGACTGATTGAGAAGGTTAAAGCACATTTTAGTGAGGGAAACTTGGTGAGATGGATCACAAACTGGCTTATTAATAGGACACAAAGGGTAGTGGTAAAAGGCTGTTTGAGTGACTGGAGGCCGGTGTCCAACAATCTACCACAAGGATCAGTACTGGGACCCTTATTGTTTGTTATATACATTAATGATACAGGTGAAAATGTTGGGGCGGGGGGTGGAATATTAAGCAAATTTGCAGATGACACCAAGATTGGTTGAATGGTTAATAGCAAAGAAAATGGTTGTAAGTTACAGGGAGATATAGATGGGTTGGTCAGATGAGCAGACTGGTGGCAGATGGTATTTAATCCTGATAAGTGTGAGGTGATGCACTTTAGAAAAAGAAACAAGATAAGGGTATATTTAATGAATGGCAGGACATTGAGTAGCTTAGAGGAACAGAGGGATCCTGGGGTAATTATTCGCAGATCCTTGAAATTGGTAGAGCACGTGAACAGGATAGTTAAGAAGGCATATGGGACACTTGCTTTTATCAGTCATGGCATTGAGTTTAATAGCAAGGAGGTATTGTTGGAGTTGTACAGAGCCTTGGTCAAACTTCAACAGGAGTACTGTGTGCAGTCCTGGTTGCCTCACTACAGGACGGATATGATAGCATTAGAGGAGGTTCACTAGGATGTTGCCTGGGATGGAGGAATGGAGTCATCAGGAGAGACTAGATAGGCTTGGATTATTTTCTTTGGAGCAGAGAAGATTGAGGGGGGTACACGATTGAAGTGTATCAGATTGAGGGGTGAGTGGAGAGCAGCTGTCCCCTTAGTTGAGGGGTCAATCATGAGAAGGCATAGTTTTAGGGTAAGGGGCAGGTGATTCAGAAGGGATTTGGGACAAAAGCTTTTTCACTCATTGGATAGTGAGAGTCTGGAATGCACTGCCTGGGAAGATAGTGGAGGCCGGAAACATTACAACCTTTAAAAAATATCGGGATGAGTATTTCAAATATCATAACATTCAAGGATATGGGACAAGTGCAGGAAATTGGGTTTAGCACACTTTTAGTGATTGTTATATTGGTGCAGACTCACTGGCCTGAAAAGCCTTTTCTGTGCTGTATGAATCTACGAATCTAACTTGCTTTAACAAATTCTTCACCGAGTATAATGTCAGAATTGTACATTGTACATACAATGCAACAAAAAGGCCAATCAAACCTGCTCTGTAAGTGACACCCACAGCCCAATGACTGAATAATAAAGAGTTGTGTGAAATGTGGGTAAAAGTGACATGAATCTCCACCCCTCCTCTTCCCCCTGGGCCTGACAGCCCCAGTTTGTTTTCAATGTTAAATCTTTAACCAACCCACATGTTCAGATTCAAATCCCAATTGGATTTCTTCCTGGAAATTTTCACAAGTAATCCTGTGTTGTACCTGTCCTGAATGTATTTGATAGGAACAGTGTAGAAAGAGCTTTACTCTGTGTCTAACCACATGCTGTACTTGTCCTTGATATGTTTGATGGGGACAGCGTAGAGAGAGCTTTACGCTGTATCTAACTCCGTGCTGTCCCTGTCCTGGTAATTTTTGATGAGTGCAGTGTAGAGGTAGCTTTACTTTCAGTTTTTAAGTGTAGAAAGAGCTTAATCTGATATCTAACCCTGTGTTGTCCCTGTCAGGGCATGTTTGATGGAGACAGTGTTGAGTTACATTTACTTACTGTTTAAACAAGTAGAGGAAGTTTCACTGTACCGACCCACACATTGTATCTGTCCTGGGAGTGTTTAATGGAGGCAATCAAGACAGAGCTTTACCTTCAGTTTAAAACAGTACAGAGAGCTTTATTCTCAGTTTAAAAGAGTAGAGGAAGCTTTACTCTATATTTAACCTGTGCTGCCCCTGTCCTGGGAGCATTTGGGTGCAGTCCCTATGGAGAAGAAGCTATACATTTTTCCCGAGTTAGGTGATGTTAAAACCTTATGCAGAAATGAACGGAGAAATTAATCAGACCTAAGATCATTCACATTGATGGGCACTGTAAAGTAAATCAAAACTTTACTCTTAGGAATAACAATACTGAATTGGAAGTTCAGCAACATGAGATCATACTGTACCAGTCTAATAGAAATCTTAAAATAGTGCCATCTTAGTCATTTTGTGGCAAGCTTACTGTTTACGCTGGCATTGAGCATGCTGTTCCTTATTGGCTTTTTCATGTCCTATATAAGAGTGATAATGATTATAAGTTGCTGTAGATTGTGCCTAAGGACATGTAAAGAGTGATTTTCACTGGCTGTACATTCCACTAAGTAACTGATCGTCTGGGTTGGCTTCTGGCCAATTGTGAGGACTTGTTGCTGCAGGGAAGTTAGCAATTAACATCATGGGATTCCTCATCATCAACATCCTGGGGATTACCATTGACTAGAAACTGAACTGGCCTCGGCATACAAATGCAGATTCCACAAGAGCAGGATAAAGACTGGAAATCGGGCAATAAAAGTTGACGCAGCCAATGAACCTCTCATAGTCGGGAATGAAGATTTCTTAAACAAGTTCCCTTGCCTGCGTTGTTTTCTTCCCGGACCTGTGCAATTATGTCCACTTTCACACCATGAAGCAACAGTTTGGTTAAATCATTTAAAAGAGATGATGGTCTGTAAATTTTAATTTCAAACTCTTACTGTCAGGAAGCAAATCCCTCAGCAAACAGCTGAAATACATGTTGGCCAATACCACAAAAGGCAAGTACACCAAGTACTGAGAAAATAAATTGGCTTGTGCCTGTTTTTAGAAGATCGTAACAAGAGGCCATTCAGCACCTCCAGGCTGTTCCGTCTGTATTGCTACTCCACCTGAGACTCTCCATCTGGGCAGACTTCTGCCAAAATACAGTCCTGTGTGTCTAACTCACAGCAAGTACAAATTTCTTACTGAGGGTTTGGTACAACACAGTGCCCTCACCAGAGATTCCAATTATTGTCCCATAAGAACCTGGATGAAATCACCCCTAGAAATGACGCTACTGTCAGCAAAAACTGGAGAATAAATTACAGAGGATCATAAAACAGTTTCAGCACAGCCATTTCAACCATCAATCCCGTGCTAGTTCTATGAAGCAGCAGATTAGCTTGTTCCTCACCTATTCCTGTAGCCCTGCTATTTATTTCTCTTCAGTTGCATATCTAATTTCCTTTTGAAAGCCTCGATTAAATCTGCCTCCACCACGCTGTTAGATAGTGCCTTCCAGATCCCAACCACTCACTGTGTAAAGTGATTCTCCCTTATATTGAGTCTTTTCCTGATCATTGTCTCCTGTTGTTCCCAATCCAACGTTGCCTACTCTGTGCCTACTCTGCCCAGACCTCAAGCAATGTTCAATGTCTCTATCAAATCTAAACTCAATTTTCCCTTCTCCAGAGTACACCATTCCAGCTTCTCCAATCTATTCATGAAAGTGAAATCCTTCAACCCTAGAACCATTTCCAAAAATCTTTTCTGCACCATAATGCTTTCACATCGTCCCAAATATGCAGAAATGGACACAGTACTTCCAGTTGGAGTTGAACCAATACTCCATGCCAGACTCTCAAACACCTTTTTAACCACCTTGTCAACCTGTCCTGTCCTCTTTTACTATTTGTGCTGATGTGTCCTCTGTCCCTCCCCCCTTTCGGGGTTTACCCGTTACAGAATCAGAATTGTTAGGGCACATGAGGCCAGTCAGTCCATTGTGCCGGCACCTACTCTATCACCTGGTGCCAATGTTTCATTTACATTATCTGTCCATCCCTATTGTAAACCAAGTTTCTGTGACCTTTAATGCCACGCAAAGCAGATATTGCACTGCTACACCACTCCCCCAGCCTCAAAGCCCAGTCACATTTTCTGACGAACACTTCAAGTGTCTAATGTCCAATACTAGATGATTTTCCTTTATGGGAAGTGGGCATCTAACATTTGCTCCCCAAACCTAATTACCCCTGAATGGAATGGCTTGTTCAGCCATTTCAGAGGGTAGTTAAGAATCAACCACATTGCTGTGAGTCCGGAGTCACATGTAGGCCAGGCAAGGTAAGGACTGCAGATTTCCTTCCCTAAGGGACATCAGTGAATCAGATTCACCAATCGATAATAGTTTCATGACCGTCATTACTGAGACTAGCTTTCCATTCCAATCGACCAATTGAATTCAAATTCACTCTCTGCTAGAACGGGATTTGAAACCTAGCCTCAGAACATGGGCCTGAGATCCAAGATTACTATCCCAGTGAAATTACCACTACACCATTATCTCCTCATAGCTTCCAAGTGCCCTGTGTAACTCCATGTCTCAGGTGTAGTATGTACAGTATATGGCTGTGTGGCTATGACAGGGACCAACTGCTTAAATCAACTCAAAAGACAACGATTGTACTTTTAATAATGATCCTTTGCCAGTTACAAGAGGTTTGAGGCTCCGTTAGCGGTGTTATTACTATTAAGAACATCACTTTTATTTTTATCGATGGAACAAATGCCTTGTTTTTTAATTTATTATGCAGATAGAATTTATGTGATTCCTGTTTGATAACACAATTGGTATTGGTATTAATGAATACCCAATGGCAGAAGCTATGTGCCAAAGGGACAGTTGTATCTTCAATATCTTGTCTTTTTGTACGGTGGATTAGTAGGTCTCAGTCCCATTCACTAATGTCGCCTCTCTGTTCTCTCCATGGTTTTAAATGAACTGCAATGTATGAAACCTCTTTGAATTATAATAAATAATCATAGTTTATCTTTGAGATTATTTTTATTTGTGTGTACTTTACTCGGTCCATTTCTTGATTGTCTGTATCACAGTTTGGTGCAGCTGAGGCAACAGTGGGGAAGAGAGATAGAAGAAATGACAGGCAGACCTGGCCATTCAGCCCCTCTAGCCTGTTCTGTAATTCAACCAAGTCACGGCTGATCTTCCACCTCAACACGATCCACCCCCACTATGCCACAGCTCCTGATTTCCCTCAATTCCAATAATGGATCAAGACCACCATCTTAAATTAGCTCAATGGCTTGAGAACCCTCAGCTCTTTGGGATTAAGAATTTCACAGCCCGACCAGTGAAGACACTTCTCACCTCAGTCCGAATGATCATCTCCTCACCCTGACGCTGTCACCCTGTGTTCCAGACACATTGACCGGACTACGGCACTAACTGGTGCCTCCCATTCACTCTTTTATGGAGAAGTATGTGCACTCAAATAAAAGTAAATTCCTGTGGAGGTGCAAAATCACTGCAGATGCTGGAATCTGTACTGAAAATGAAAAATGCTGGCGATCACAGCAGGTCAGACAGCATCCATGGAGAGATAGCAAGTTTTGAGTCTAAATGACTGTTCATCAGAGCTGACATGAAATGTAGAGGGGACAACATTTATGCAATAGTTGGGGTAGGGGTGGAGGGCTGGAAGTGAAAGGATGGTGATAGTTCAGATTAAGAGATCAGAATGTGAGAATGGCAGAACAATGGTGTGACTAACTGCTAGATAAGAAAGAACAGATAGTCCCACTGGAGTCGAGGAGGGGAGAAAGGACATAGTGACAGACAATACAGCTAGTAAAGCTAATAAAAAGGAAAGGAATGGAAGTGGGTTCACAGTTTAAAGGTGTTGAACTCAATATTAAGTCCAGAAGGCTGTAATGTGCTCAGTCTGAGGATGAGATGTTGTTCCTCCAGTTTGCGCTGTGATTCACTGGAACGCTGCAGCATACCGAGGACAGACAAGTACGCATGCGAGCAGGACACTGTGTTAAAACAACAGGCTACGGGAAGGTTGGGGTCATGCTTGTGCACGGACTGGAGGTGTTCCACAAAGTAGTCACTCAGTCTGCGTTTAGTTTCTCCAAAGTAGAGTAGATCACATTGCATGCAGCAACTACAATACACAAGATTGGAGCAGGTGCAGATGAAATGCTGCTTCACCTAGAAAGACTGTTTAGGGGTAGTAGGAACTGCAGATGCTGGAGAATCTGGGATAACAAGTGTAGAGCTGGATGAACACAGCAGGCCAAGCAACATTAGAGGAGCAGGAAGGCTGACGTTTCGGGCCTAGGCCCTTCTTCAGAAATGGGGGAGGGGAAGGGGGTTCTGAAATAAATAGGGAGAGAGGGGGAGGCGGAAGGAAAGTGGATAGAGGAGAAGATAGGTGGAGAGAAGACAGACAGGTCAAAGAGGTGGAGATGGAGCCAGTAAAAGTGAGTGTAGGTGGGGAGGTAGGGAGGAGATAGGTCAGTCCAGGGGGGACGGACAGGTCAAGAGGGCAGGATGAGGTTAGTAGGTAGGAGATGGGGGTGGGGCTTGAGGTGGAAAGAGGGGATAGGTGGGAGGAAGGACAGTTTAGGGAGGCGGGGACGAGCTGGGCTTGTTTTGGGATGCGGTAGGGGGAGGGGAGATTTTGAAGCTTGTGAAGTCCATATTGATACCATTGGGCTGCAGGGTTCCCAAGCGGAATATGAGTTGCTGTTCCTGTAATCTTCGGGTAGCATCATTGTGGCACTGTAGGAGGCCCAGGATGGACATGTCATCTGAGGAATGGGAGGGGGAGTTGAAATGGTTCGCGACTGGGAGGTGCAGTTGTTTAGTGCGAACCGAGCGTAGGTGTTCTGCAAAGCGGTCCCCAAGCCTCCGCTTGATTTCCCCGATGTAGAGGAGGCCACAATGGGTACAGCAGATGCAGTATACCACATTGGCAGATGTGCAGGTGAACATCTGCTTGATGTGGAAAGTCTTCTTGAGGCCTGGGATGGGGGTGAGGGGGGAGGTGTAGGGGCAGGTGTAGCACTTCCTGCGGTTGCAGGGAAAAGTGCCGGGTGTGGTGGGGCTGGAGGGGAGTGTGGAGCGGACAAGGGAGTCACGGAGAGAGTGGTCCCTCCTGAAAGCAGGTAAGGGTGGGAAGGGAAAACTGTCTTTGGTGGTGGGTCGGATTGCAGATGGCGGAAGTGTCGGAGGATGATGCATTGGTTCGCACTAAACAACTGCACCTCCCAGTCGCAAGCCATTTCAACTCCCCCTCCCATTCCTCAGACGACATGTCCATCCTGGGCCTCCTACATTGCCCAGAGGCTGCACTGTATCAGGTGACCATCTGGCTGCCTCCAGGGACAGGTTGGTGGTTTTCATGGAGATCCCGGCCCAGCATCCTCAAGGTTTTCTGAACAAACACACACAAACAAACATTCCATCACCCCAAACAATAGTCCTCAGGAGAGAAAGCCTGACTTGAAAGCCCCAGAAAGCTGGGGTGAGGGTGGGTGTGGGCGGGGGAGGTGCTGGGAAATCTGGTGCACACTCTCAATGCTCCTCCCTCACAAGGAGAGAGGGCAGAGCCACGAAGCACCCAGATGGAGGAGGCCCCTCAGGAGTCTCTGCTCTGGATGATTCAGAGAATGCTGGGGCCTTTAGCTCTACCTTGCCACACCCCCTCCCCTCCTACCCTTGGAAGTTGAAGCTGAGGACGGTCTCACTGCCTATGGCAAGAAGTTAATGTTAACTCCGCCGTCTCTCTCCACAGACCTGCTGAAGTTTTCTCCAGTAGTTTCTGTTTTTGTTTCAGATCTTTGGCAATTGGTTGTTTTTTATTCATCCATTTGTATTTTACTTCATTGACACAACGCTTCACCTAATATCCCAGTTCATTTCAGCAAACGGCCCATCAGGGGCGATGCTGTGTGTGTTTGTGATCTGATGTCTATTGTCCAAATCATTCTCAACACGCTGTCACCCGGACTCATTTCTGGAGGCTCATACTTCCGTGGTTAAGGGGGTGGGAGCATGATGGGTGTAGCACCGGAAGTCGTGGTGTTTGTCGGATATTGTTGACGGGTGGCAGACTCCGTCACGGATGTGTGTTTTTCTTTAAACTGAAACGGAGAGGTTGACAGAAGAAGGCGATTCTGGTTTCGGCCGCCGGAAGCTTTCGGTATTTGACTCTTTGAGGTAAGATCGGTCGGTGCGGCGGCAGATTCCCGGGAACAGCGCCTCTTGCCCCGGGGATAGGGGGCTTTCCCAGCCGCGGTGCTCCCTGGGAGCAGTCGCCCTCCATTGTCGCCCAATGCTTGAGGCCCCAGAACATGTTCTCCAGTGGCCTGGAAGAGGCAATAGGAACGGGTGAAGCTAAAAACTGCAGGTTGTTGGCCTTTTCTTTAACCGAGAAAGTTAATTTTATTCTCGTTTCAGAAACAAAGACAGAAATTGCTGGAAAAGCTCAGCAGGTCTGGCAGCATCTGTGAAGAGAATTCAGAGTTAACGTTTGGGGTCCAGTGAACCTTCCTAACTGGATCCGAAACGTTAACTCTGATTTCTCTTCACAGATGCAGCCAGACCAGCTGAACTTTTCCAGCAATTTTTGTTTTTGTTTCCGATTTACAGCATCCGCAGATTTTTTTACGGTTTTTATTCTCGTTTCATTTGGTTTTTCATTTTAGAAATTGATTTCTGCCATAGGTGGCAGCAAAAGACTGGTTTCGTGTTTAAAAAACATGCTAGAGAAATGCAGCAGTTCTGGTAACATCTGCAGAGTGAAACAGAGTTAACGTTTCGCGACCCTCTTCAGGACTGTTTTTAGCTAGGAAAAGCTTGGTATTTATGCTGAAGATATGGAAGCGGAAAGAATAAACGATAGATGGAAATGGAGCCCTTAGAGAAAAAAACAGTTGGATAGACAAAGATATAAGACAAAGACTTCGGTCTTCCAGGCTGACTTTTACCCATTACTTTATCTTCTTAACTGTTTCTCTGTCTCTCTCCAGGCTCCATCTCCACCCATTATTTACTCCTCCCCGTCCCCATCTTCAGCATATATACCAGCCTGTTCCTAGCTAAAATCAGTTCCGAAGAAAGATGACTGAACGCGACACATTAACCCTACTTTCTCTCTACAGATGCTGCCAGATGTGTTGAGTTTTTCCAGCAGATTCACTTTTTGTTTATACATCCCTGATCGGACCCCAACTAGAGGACGCCAGATAAACAGAAAGTGCTATACAAACTCATCAGGTATGGCAGCATTTGTGGAAAGAGAGAAATACTAGTTTCGAGTTTCGATGACTCTTCATTAGAACTGTTTTGTTTGATTGATTTTGCATTCCTTGGTAGCGGAACCACATGCGGCTACCCGGATATTGCACATGCTCTTTACCCGGAACATTTCTGCTGTTGTACACACGCTCCCGTGGGGCGGGTAAGGTTTCAGTGTGACACCGGGTGTTGGCTGTCCCTGTTAAAAAGAATCGAAAGAACTGTGGATGCTGTAAATCAGGAACAAAAACAAAGTTGCTGGAAAAGTTCAGCAGGTCTGGCAGCATCTGTGAAGGAAAAGGCAGAGTTAACGTTTCGGGTCCGGTGACCCTTCCTCGGAATTGTTCCTGTTGCTTGGGTCGGTTCTGGGCCGCGGGTCAGTGATTCTTCGGCCCGTCTTCCAGAGGAGGATTACAGACCTTAAACCCTGTTGTCTCCCGGAACCTTAAACTGTGATTTTTCCATGAACCTCTGATATGGTCTCAAACCCCTGACCTCTACTTCAAGTCCTTACCTTCGACTCCTAACTCCTCCCAACACAACCTGAACCCCATATCAATCTCTAAACCCAACTCCTAACTGTGACTGAGCACTTAATACCGATTAGTAACTCTGCCCTTCCCCACCCCAAAAAAAAGGTCGCCTCTAACCACTACTCGACCCCCCGACCCTATATTTCAACCCCTGAGCCATGGTCTCCTCTGAAGTGTTGAAACAGGAAAAGTATGAGCTGTGGAGTGGCCCTATTCCTTTTGATTGAAAAAAAGCATTTGACTTTTGCAGGCAACAGGAGTTTCCAAAATGTCAGCTCCTAACCCCAGAGGCCACAACTGGAACAGGAAGTCAGAGAAGGAAGAAGAGGAGGAGGAGGATCCTGTGGATCAGATGATTTCCAGGACGGGGTGTGCTGTCTTCCATCGAGCTGTGCAGGATTGTATGGCGGAACACCAGGACTGGCGGCAGTGCCAGCGTTCTGTGCATGACTTCAAACAGTGCATGGCAGAATACCAGCGTCTGCGAGCTAGCCAGCTTGGCCAACACAACCCCCACTCAGCTGGTAGCTGAAATCTGGGTGAATCAACAACCTTATTTTTTGTTCTTTCAGATGCTCTCAAAAATAAAAACAAATTCCTAAAGACTCAGTTAGCAACGAGGACTTCTGTATTTGTTTAAATGTCCCTAATTGGACCCCAGCTGGAGTATACCAGATAAAACATAAAAGTGCTGGATAAACTCAGCAGGTGTGGCAGTATTTGTGGAGAGAGAGAAAAACACAATTAACGTTTTGAGTCCAGTGACTCTTCATCAGAACTGTTTTATTTTTGTCTTTTGCAAAGACATTGGCTGAAGCTGTGAACGTTTGTGTCTTTCTCAGTGCAGAACCTGCCACTTAAGCGCCACACAAGCCTCCACCAGCCTGTTTCTTGTCTTAAAAAGTACGAGTGAGGTGAACGTAATACACCATTCAGTCATGGCTCCCTACTCTAAGGGCTGTGCACCACTGTCTTTCGACAAAGTCTGAGGTGTGAGGTACTGCACTTTCTAGTTGTAGTGCTAGATTCAGTCCCCCGCAGCCTGACTTCAGTCTGGGGTGGCAAGGGGATAAAATCCTGATAATGCAGACCTGTCATTGCCAATAGATGAGGCTTGAAGCAGGTGAATTGAAATTTAAGTTCATTTCAGGTTGCCTTCAGTTGCATCTTCCATTTACCATTGTCCAATGTAAAATTGCAGCGACCAGAAAATGTCCTTTGAGACTGAGACAACGCAACATCAAATGAGCTGATTTTTAAAAAATTTCTAATGTATAACTTAATGCCAAGTCTTCCAGTGGATGAATAAAATTCCACAATGTTTCCTACATTTGTGCTGTGCTGGTCTGCATTCTGTCCTTGAGCTGATATTTTATCCAACCTGCCCATGGTTGTCATATTTCTGAAACATGTGCCAAAATCTTTCTTTTCAGACTAGACATGTGAAGTGATGCTTCAGATACTTAAGAGCATAAGAATTAGAAGTAGCAGTAGACCATTTCACCCATTGAACCCGCTTTGCCATTCAGTAAAATTGGATCTGATCTACTTAAAGGTAGTAAGGAAAAGCCAGGGAACTATAGACTGGTGAGCCTGACATCACTGGGGGGGCAAGTTGTTGGAGGGAGTCCCAAGGTTCATAATTTACCTATATTTGGAAAGGCAAGGACTGATTAGGGATAGTCAACATGGCTTTGTGCATGGGAATTTGTGTCTCACTAACTTGAGTGAGTTTTTTGAAGAAGTAACGAAGAGGATTGATGAAAGTAGAGTGGTGAGCGTGATCTATATGGACTTCAATAAGGTGTTCGACAAGGTTCCGCAGGATAGACTGGTTAGCAAGGTTAGATCACATGGAATACACAGAGAACTAGCCATTTGGACGCAGAACTGGCTCGAAGGTAAGAGATAGAGGGTGGTGGGGGAGGGTTGTTTTTCAGACTGGAGGCCTGTGACCCATGGTGTGCCACAAGGATCGGTGCTGGGTCCATTGCTTTTCGTCATTTATATAGATGATTTGGATGTGAACGTAGGAGGTATGGTTAGTAAGTTTGCAGATGACACCAAAATTGGAGGTGTAATGCACAACGAAGAAGGTTACCTCAGAGTACAACAGGATCTTGATCAGATGGGCCAATGGGCTGAGGCGTGGCAGATGGAGTTTAATTTAGATAAATGTGAGGTGCTGTATTCTGGAAAGGCAAATCAGGGCAAGACTTGTACACTTAATGTTAAGATCCTGGGGAGTGTTGCTGAACAAAGAGACCTTGGAGTGCATGTTCATAGTTCCTTGAAAGTTGAGTCGCAGGTAAATAGGGTAGTGAAGAAGGGATTTGGTATGCTTGCCTTTATTGGTCAGTACGTTGAGAATAGGAGTTAGGAGGTCATGTGGCTGTACAGGACTTTGGTTAGACCACTTTTGGAAAACTGTGTGCAATTCTGGTCTCCCTGCTAGAGGAAGGATGTTGTGGAACTTGACAGAGTTCAGAAAAGATTTACAAGAATATTGCCAGAGGTTGGGGGTTTTGAGCTATCGGGAGTGGCTTGGGCTATTTTCCCTGGACTGTTGGAGACTGAGTGGTTACCTTTTAGAGATTTATAAAATCGTGAGGGGCATGGATAGTGTAAATAGCCAATATCTTTTCCTCAGGATAGGGGAGCCCAAAACTAGAGGGGCATAGGTTTAAGGTGAGAGGAGAAAGATTTAAAAGGGACATAGGGGGCAACTCTTTCAGGCAGAGGGTGGTGTGTGTATGGAATGAGCTGGCAGAGGAAGTGCCTGATACTGGTACAGTAAACAACATTTAAAAGGCATCTGGATGGGTTTATGAATAGGAAGAGTTTAGAGGGATATTGGCCAAATGCTGGCAAATAGGACTAGTTTAATTTAGGATATCTGGCCAGCAAGGGTGAATTGGACCGAAGGGTCTGTTTCCGTGCTGTACAGCACTATGACTTATTATTACCTTAGCTCCATTTTCCTGTCAGTGCTCCCCCATACTCCTTGACTCCCATGTCAATCAGAAACCTGTCTAACTCAGTCCCAGATGTAGTTAGTGACAGCTTGCATTCCATAAGAATTCCATAAACTAACCCTCTGAGAGATGAAATTACTCCTCTTTGTCTTCATTACGTGAGCCTTTTTAAAATATTTATTCACAGGATGTGGGTGTTGCTGGCTGGGCCAGCATTTATCGCTCACCCATAGTTGCCGTTGAAGAGATGGTGGTGAGCTGCTTTCTTGAACTGCTGCAGTCCACATGGTGTAGGTTGACCCAAAATGCTATTAGAGAGGAATTCCTGGGATTTTGATTCAACAAGACTTGGAAGGAACATCAATCCAAGTCAGGATAGTGAGTGACTTGGAGGGCAACTTACAGGAGGTTGTGTTCCCATGTCTCTGCTGTCCTTGTCCTTCTAGATGGATGTGGTCATGGGTTTAGAAGGTGTTGTCTGAGGATTTTTGGTGAATTTCTGCAGTGCAAGTTGTAGAAAGTACACACTGCTGCTACTGAGTGTCAGTGGTGGCAGGAGTGGATGTTTGTAGATGTGCCAATCAAGTGGGCTTAGGATAGTTTTGTCTAGGATGGTGTCAAGCTTCTTTAGTGTTGTTGGAAACTGTGCCCCTATTTCTAGATTCCCTCACAAGGGAAATATCCACTCAGCATCCAACCTCTAAAGCTGCTCAAAAATTTGTTTCAGTGAGATCACTTTTCATTCTCCTGAACTCCAATGTATTTAGGCCCAACCTGCTGAACTTTTCCTCAAAAGACAAGCTCATTCAAGGGGAAACAACCTCTCTGCATCTACAGTTTCAAACTGCCAAAAGAATGTTGTATATTTCAAAAAGATCACCTCTCATTCTTCAAAACTCTAATTAGTACAGGTCCAACCTACTCAACCTCCTTATAACACAGTCCCTCCATATCCGGCATTAATATAGTGCACCTTCTCCGTCCGGGGTGCTGTCATTCAGATTTCAGAATTGTTCTGAAGAAGAATCAAACCAAACTCAAACCATTAACTTTATTTCTTTCCACAGTGCTGCCAGAGCCACTGAGCTTTTTTCAGCAGTCCCCTTGTTTCTTTCCTCAGTACTGACCTTCTGGTAGTCCTTCAGTACTGACCCTGCGACAGTGCGGCACTGTCTCAGTATTGACCCTCTGACACGGCAGTGCTCAGTCAATACTGACCTTGTGACAGAGCAGCACTCAATCAGTACTGAACCTATTGACAATGCGGCACTCTCTCAGTACTGACTGTGACAATGCAGCAGTCCCTCAGTACTGACCCTCTGACAGTGCGGCGCTCCCTCAGCGCTGTCCCTCCGACAGTGCGGCGCTCCCTCAGCGCTGACCCTCCGACAGTGCGGCGCT